TCCAGGTTGCTGAGTGTGACTGAAGTTCTGTCATTTAAATAGCTGTGAAACATTCCATCATTTAAACATATGTCAGTGATTTTTCATCCACTCTTTTGCAAATGGACATTTGGATCTTTTTCATTTTCTTGCTCTTAGGAACAAGGCTGCTGCAGGCATTCCTGTACATGCCTTCCAGAGTACATTTGCAAGACTTTCTCTAGCGTAGGCACCACTGTGGGTCATATGGTAGGCAAGTAATCAGATTTAAAAGATAGTATCCGATTATTTCCAAAGCAGCATGCTCCTACAACAATGCAAAAGTTCCTGTTGCTCCATATCTTTGCAACATCTTACACTGATATTTATAAATTTTATCAAATGAGTAAGAATAAATGGCATCTCCTTGTTGTTTTTTAATTATAATTTCTTATTTCAAGACTTACGTTTCTTAAGTTGTTTTATTTCAAAATTTGAATTTAATTGCATTATGATCAGGAAACCTGTTTGATATCAATTCTTTGAAATTTATTAAGACTTGCTTCATGACCTCATATTGATCAATGTTGTCAACACTCTACATATGCTGGAAAAATGTGTACCCTCCAATGGTACATTATTTTTATATGTGTATTAGATCAAGGTTATTAAATGGGAAGCTCCAATGTTTTACATACTTAATATGTTTTTTTGACTTCTTGTTTTATTAATTACCAAGAGCACATGAAAATTTAGCACTGTGCAATATCCTTTCTTCCCTTCTGTGTCTTTTTATCTTTCCTTCATATTTTCTATCTCTTTGTTCCTCTGTGCTGCACTCCAGGCAACTTTTTCAGATTTACCTTAAAGTTCACTAATTTTCTCTTTAGTGGTGCCTATCAACTGCTAAATCTTTCCACTGAGTTTTCTTTTAATGTGAAATAATAGACTTTTATACCAAAATTTATCTTATCTTTTTTCTAATCTACCTGGTCAGTTTTGTAGTCTCATGCTCCTCATCCATTCCCCTCTCCCCGATTCCTTTTATTTGAAAAACAAAACAAAGCAAAACAAAACAAAAACCACACTGTATAAGTAGCTATTTAACATTGTATATTCCACGGTTCCAAAATCTGAAGTCCTTTTATTTTTTTTTTATTTTTATTTTTTTAAAAAATTTTTTTTTCAACATTTATTTATTTTTGGGACAGAGAGAGACAGAGCATGAACGGGGGAGGGGCAGAGAGAGAGGGAGACACAGAATCGGAAACAGGCTCCAGGCTCTGAGCCATCAGCCCAGAGCCTGACGCGGGGCTCGAACTCCCGGACCGCGAGATCGTGACCTGGCTGAAGTCGGACGCTTAACCGACTGCGCCACCCAGGCGCCCCCTGAAGTCCTTTTAGATCTATTCCTGATTTTGGTTTCTGTTGACTGTTATACTTGATGCCTTATTTCTTTGTATATTCTATTATTTTTGACTGTGACCTCATCATCCTTGGGCTACTCTGCAGTTCTATAAGACCTATGTGCATGTATATTCTTCCAGGGAAGATCAACATTAGCTTCTGCCGTTTGTTTATGCCATGAAGATCAGGATCCACTTTAAATCAGAATTTCCTTCTTGGGTTTTTTTGGAACTTTAAAGAATTTATTCTATGAAAAAGAGACCAGGTGATGGCCACAGGCATAACAATTGGGGTCCAAAACAGAGAAAAGGTCTTTTTCATCACAAAAATCAAACTCTACTCCTAGTGTCCTTCTCTCAGGGTTTGTGTTGAGTTTCCAGACCCTTAAGCTCTATTAAGAGCCAGCTTTCACTACTTTTAGGTAAATTCACCAAAATTCCGTTCTTGTTAAAAATTGTGAATAATAATGGGGCGCCTGGGTGGCTCAGTCGGTTGAGCATCCGACTTTGGCTCAGGTCATGATCTCGCGGTCTGTGAGTTTGAGCCCCGCATCGGGCTCTGTGCTGACAGCTCGGAGCCTAGAGCCTGCTTTGGATTCTGTGTCTCCCTCTCTCTCTGCCCCTCTCCTGCTACATGCTCTGTCTCTCTCTGTCAAAAATAAACAAACATTAAATTTTTTTTTTTAACTGTGAATGATATTTCTGTGAAAGCTGGTGAAATCAGTTAAACTCAGCTTTTTGGCCGGTTCCATTTTTCTGTTTCTCATCTTAGTATAACTATCATCTGTCCGTACGACACACCCATAAGCAAGGAAAACAAAGACAGAATCCTAGCTTTTAGTTTTTACATTGTCCCCATACTCTCTGAGGGCTAGTAGCCTTCGTGAAGCTTCGTGTGGGAGTAGAAGGCTTCTTGATCCGGGAAGGATTTTCCACAGATGCTGCCCAAGCAGCCATCATCCTCCTTGCGTGAGTGACGGACGTGGCTGTCATGGGCAGCGTGGGATGCGAAAGATTTACCAGAATGCTTGCATTTGAAGGGCTTTTCCCGAGTGAACCTCTTTGTGCAATACACACACTGGGATGATCTGTCTCCAGAGTGGATTCTCATTTGTTTGTTTAGGCTGGAAGACTGAGAGAAGCATTTGCCACACGTTGAACACTTGTGAGGCTGGTGCTTCTCGTGAACGTGCAGGACAGGGATCCGGAGCTGGTCCCACTTCTCAAAGGATCGTTTGCAGACAGAGCAGGGAAATTTCCTATCACCCTTGTCCACACAAGGGGTGTGCTTGAGGTGCTTATCTCTGTAATATTTGTAGGTAAATACTTTTCCACATCTTTCACACCTGTAGCCTTCTGCAGACTCTTCAGAGGGCCCAGGCACCTGCTTCCTCTGTTCTGTGAGCGAAAGGCTCAGGGGAATGTCTAAAAACTTTCCATAGCAGTCTCCATACCACACAAGGAGCTCTTGGTTCTGGCAGATATCCTTGCAGCTCTCGTAAGGTATCTGCCTTCGACATTGCAACCAGGCTCTGCTCCTTGGGGAAACAGGCACAGTTGACAGAGGACATCCAGTTCCCTGCACCTCCTTTTCCATCTATAAAGTGGCTCAAATGACCATCTTTGACAATCTCGCACATCAGAGAAATTGTCTCCATAGGTCTTGACTTCACTGGCATTGACCACTTTACCTTGGAAAGGTCCAAACCTGACTCCTTTGGCAACAAGCCTACTGCAGAATGCACCAAAAATGCCACACTTCACCAAACATCGTCTGCTTGAGGCAGAGACCTTCTGGTAGTTGAAGGAGTCTTTACCCAGAGTTCGACAAAGAGAAGCAGATCCAGAGCTGTCTGTGGGGACCAGGAACCCGGAGAGACGACTTCCCTTGCTGGTTCAGGAGTTTGGAGCCCTCCTCAGACTGCTTGCTGGGGGAGCAAGATAATAACTGGGAGGCCTCCACCCCCTCAGGTCACCGGGAAGCGTTCGCAGCCAGCGGGGCATGAAAATTTCAGGTCCACGGCATTGGCCACTGTCACGTCGGCCACCAGTATGGCCCCAGCCTTCACTGGTGGCGCCTGTATACTCGTGGCTGCTGTTGAGGAAGTGGGGCACCTCTCTGGGGAGCTGGGGAACTGGGTACCGCGCTGGTGGCTGGCTGTACCAGGGCGGATCGTAGAGCTGCTCCCACCACAGGGCCAGGTTGGAGCTCAGCAAGGGAGGCGTGGACCGCACCGGAAGGCAAAGGTGGGGGCATAGCGTGGGATGCAGGCACGGTGGCCTCCAGCTGCGGAAAAGTTGGACATCTTCCCCCACAGCAGTTAGCGTGTTCCCATAGCGGCCACAGGCCGGGAAAGGTGTGCAGGAGGCGTCCAGGTGTTGGGGGCATCCTGGGCTGCCCTAGGCGGGTAGCACATGTTGCCCTTGGATCCGGCCTCACCTGGCGGCCGCAGAGCCATCCCGGGGCACAGCGCGGGTCGGGTCTTCCAGAGGGCCACCACGCAACCAGCACCTCCAGGGCCCTGAGGGTGGCGGGGGCTCCGCACTGGTAGGCTGCAGGCTGGTGTTTGTTTTTAACAGCCATTTATTTTTGAGAGACAGGGAGAGACAGAGCGTGAGCAGAGGAGGGGCAGAGAAAGAAGGAGACACAGAATCCAAAGCAGGCTCCAGGCTCTGAGCCGTCACCCGTTCGATGCGGGGCTCAAACCCACAGACCGTGAGATCATGACCTGAGCCACCCGGCGCCCCTCCTTCTTGGGTTTTTTAAGCCTAAACAAATAATGTACATTCAAGCCCCAGACTCGTGTGAGGTTGGGTTGGTGGGTTTTAAGCCTTTGGAATCTTGTACCTTCATGAAGACTCAGATTCTTAATACCAAAAACTGGTGTAATAAAAACTGCTTACAGGGCTGTTTTAAGGATTAAAGGAGATAAGAAATATAAAGTATAAACTGCACATTTGATACATAGCAGGTGTTCAACAAAAAAGCCTCCTTTTCCATTCCTAATCTTCAAACCTCAACTAACAAGCTTCCTCTTTTGCTTATGCTAATCTTCTCATTCAGAAATAGCATTTCTCTTAAGCATAATTTTTTCATGCATCCCTGAAGACATATTTTCACATTATGTTAATTTTCTATAAACTAATGTCACTTAACACACCGGGGCTTAGACTCGCCAGCTGCCTTTATTTATTCCTATATATTTCATGTCCTTTTCTAAATTCAGGTCTTTCAAGGCAAGAACAGTAGGCACATAAATGCTCAAGACACTCTGTTAAGTGACAAAGTCCTCTCATGAAACAAAGAGTAGGACACCAACACAGGGCACACGCAGGTAGGTGGCTGATCGCCAAGTGAGAGAGCACAAAGGAGACGGTGTGATTGCTGTGAGGGGAAATGGAGAGGTGCTAAGTGGAAAAGCACAGACATCTATGTATACATATAAAACCATACGCCATATGTAACATGGTATATAAACCAATCAATCATAAACTCATAAAACACGTACTGATTTTATCATTTTCCCTACAGCAGGCACCTGGTGAGACAACTAAACAAAGAATAAGTCACTAAAAATATATCACGTAATCAAAGTATACTGAGATAAGAATTATGGATAAAAACATTCGGCTTACAGTATAACAGTATCTTCCTTTGAGGTAATACAAAAAAGGTTCTTCGGGTAAAAACTGGATTGCTTTATCCAGATGCTCCTAAAAGAAAAGTCCAAAACAAATACCATCTCTCAGGATTCAGGTGGTGTTGAATGCAGCTGTGTCGAAATTCAAAGGGGCTTTACGGTGTTGTTTAGTCCCCCTCCTTAATCCCTACCATTAACATAAGAAGTCATACCAATAATTCAATTATCAGAAATGATTGCTCACAACTAGAACCTGACTGTGATGATGATTTCATTAAGCTATGCATAATTTAAAGCCAACGTCACTATAAAAAGTAGAAAACCTCCAAGTGACGCTTTTGTCTGCCCATGACTTGCCTAGCTAATACTGATTCAGCAGCATGCTTGCAAGTTTCAAATGATTAGGATATAATGGAAGACAGAATAGCAGAACTGGGTTGTGGAGGAAGCTATTCCCCTGACATTATTAAAATGGGTATAGGGAGCTGGAAAACAAAGAAACTTCTTAGCTCATTTATTGAGCTATCAAAGCTACAGGCACATTACAAATGATTTACACGTATATTACTTATTTTATTCATTTATCACGGTATGTTGAAGTCCTAGATTGGATTCTATTCCCCCCACCAAATCAATATGCAAGTATTTTATTCATTTATCATGGTAAGTTTAAGTCCCAGATTGGATTCTATTCCTTCCACCAAGTCAATATGCAAGTAATGTTAACTAATTAGTCCAGATCATGTTTCTGATGTTGGTGAACTCATCACCAAAAGACTAATCCTGCCTTTGAAAAAATAATACTCATCTACTATGTAAGTTCTTTCAAGATCTAGAATAATAATCTTCAATCACTCAAATAGGTTTCATTTTTTTGGCACAGTACTGTTTAAAGATTGTCACTTCATTTAGATAAAAAAGATAGGGACACCTGAGTGGCTCACGCAGTTAAGCATCTGACTCTTGATTTTGACTCAGGTCATGATCTCACAGTTCGTGTGTTGGAGCCCCACCTTGGACTCTTTGCTAACAGTGTGGAGCCTGCTTGGGATTCTCTCTCTCCCTCTCGCTTTGCCCCTCTCCCCTTCTCGCACATGTTCTCTCTCTCTCTCAAAATAAATATATAAACACTGAAAAAATAAAATAAAAATTAAAAAGATAAACTTCTTGAGATTGAGATTAGTTTGGGTTTTATAACTTTTTTTTTGAGAGACAGTGAGAGAGAGAGGGGGAGAGAGAGAGAGAGAGAGAGAGAGAGAGAGAGAGAGAATGAGCAGGGGAGGGGTAGAGGGAGAGAAAGAATCTGAAGCAGGCCCCACACCCAGCATGGAGCCTGTCATGGGCTCAATTCCATGACCAATAGATTATGACCTGAGCCAAAATCAAGAGTTGGATGCTTAAGTGACTGAGCCACCCACACACCGTGAGAGATCCATTTATTAAATAATTTGATTTATGCCTTTTAATGGAACACACAGCTACATTAAAATATCTTTAATATCAAGAAATACCTTGAAGCGATGTCCATAGTTGATTTTATTTTGTAAGCCCTCAAACTCGGACACATAGCCACACAAGACTGCATACCTGAAAAGGATAAACAGTGGACAGTGCGTCAACTTTGTAATCAAATATACCAAATAAACATTTTAAGAATATCTCTAAAGCGTTCATTAATATTTGATGAAAGGATTCAGACAGATACAAGGGCCCTAAAAATAATAAATACTTGACATTAACATGAGGCTGGTTTCCTCAGCTATTACTGAGGATACTCACACCGTCTACCTCATATGTGTGCCACAAGGGCAAGGTACCTAAAACATGTAATTGCTTAGAATACTACGTGGCACACAGTGAGTTTCAACAAATATTAGCTGCTTCTATCACCATCATCAGCATCAAAGTCACAAAGAGGCTCTCAGAAAAAGTCTAGTCATAACAGTGATAAATTGAAAAAATATATTGTGTCATCATATCCCTGTTCTTCCTTAATAGAATTAAAAATAAAAATGTCACGGCCTCCCTTGATATCATTTGAAAACAAAAATAAGTATCATGACTAAAACAAACAAAGTCAAAGGTAATTTCAAAATACACTTTTTTTTTTAAAGTTTATTTATGTATTTTTGAGGGGGGGGTGTAGGGGCAGAGAGACAGGGAGAAAGAGAATCCCAAGCAGGCTCTGCACTGTCAGCATAAACCCCAACACAGGGCTCGAACTCACAGACCATGAGATCATGACCTGAGCTGAAATCAAGGGTCAGATGCTCAACCCACTGAGCCACCCAGGCACCTCCACTTTTCTTTTTCTTGAAATTTTTTAAAAAATTTGTTTATTTATTTTGAGAAAGAGAGAGAGAGAGAAAGAGAGTGAAAGTAGGGGGAGGGGCAGAGAGGGAGGAGAGACAGAATCCCAAGCAGGCTCTGCACTATCAGCACAGAGGCTGACGTGGGGCTCAATGACAAAAACCGTGAGATCGTGACCTGAGCCAAAATCAAGAGTTGGACGCTCAACCATCTGAGCCACCTAGATGCCCCATGAATACGCTTTTCCAAAAAATTCCCCATGACCTTCGATCCTTCCTTGGAAACACTGCATACGAGAATATGGCATCCCATGAATTACTTTTTTTTCCCACTGGGAATACAAAAGTTACATCAATAATTATTTGAAATAAGTTGGGTGCCATATTTGTTTAGCAATTTGCTCACTCCAAAACCTGGGGATATATTACTTTTCATATTCAGAGGGTTTCTGTCTGTGCAAAATATTCATTTACCTAAATCTTTCAAGAGTAGGTATTAATTGTTACTTGCATTATCATAACTGAAATGAAAGATGTAACTTTGGGTATTTATCTTGATCATTTCTGTGGATAAGCATAACTTTCAAGTACAAAAATGAAGTGAACAATTTTCTTAATTTGGAACAGTGAGACCATTCCTGAGCACAAAAATCCCACAATTCGCACAACTTACGACAAACAATAAAATGGTCCCTTTTCAGTTATGACTTTTTTGACCTCTTAATTTTCAGTTTCTATACAGTCAACCAAATCTGCAACAGTAGAAACAAGAATGATGACTAAATCAACCTATCAAAAGTGACCTGAGAACTTAACCAGATTAGGAGATGTTACTATTCACAAATTCTACCATCACATTGCCTGACACATACCTCTCACCACCCACCAGAGATTGAGTTTGTAGGAATAGATTACTGGACTCGTGAGTTCCCCTGGAAAACCGTTACTGTCACCTCTGGTCTGACCATGTTCTTCTGAAACTCTCTCTGTCGTTCTGCTTTATCATTCCTCCAAGGGAGTTCCAGAAAGTGGAGCAAATTTCCACACAGCTACATCCCCAAATTCCCCCATTTCTGTTGTGGGCATTATTTGTATTTAAAACCTTAGGTCACTTTATTTAAAAAAATAAGCTTTTATTTAAAAAAATTTTTTTTAATGTTTCTTTAATTTTGAGAGAGAGAGAGAGAGAGAGAGAGAGCAAGGGGTAGAGAGAGAGGGAGACATGGAATCCAAAGCAGGCTCCAGGTTCTGAGCTGTCAGCACAGAGCCTGATGTGGGACTCGAACTCACAAACTGTGAGATTACACCCTAAACCAAAAGTCTGACACTTAATCGACTGAACCACCCACGTGCCCCAATAAGCTTTTATTTTAAAATAGCTTGAAATGTATAGAAAAGTTGCAAAGATGGTAGAGAGAGTTCCCATCTACCGATACTCAGTTTTCTCTACTGTATACATCTTACGTTACTATAGTACATTTATCACAACTGTACTAATACTGTCAGACAAGATTGATATGTAATTTTTGCAATGTACCAAAATTAATATGTTATTGTTAACTAAACTCCCCACGTTATCCAAATTTTCATGTTTTCCCCTAAATTAAATTTTGACACTTTTCTTTCCATCCCTCCTTCCACGTTTATCTCCATTCATTCACATATATGAAAATCTTTTGTTTTTAATGTGAAAGTTGTTTGAATTACTCTTGTCACCCATCATACACTCTGTTCCTCATAATTTTGTGTTACTTGCAACTTTTATTACATACTTATTCGATCTTCATCCACTGACAAAATTATGGAACACACTAGTGTCTAAGATACAGACGTGGAATCCTGGAATCGTCTCCAGATTGATAGTGATGTTGCCAACAGTTACTCTGTTGAACAACTGGCTTAAACCCTTCTCTCAATATGGGTAACCCAGAGGCCTGCCCACATTTCTATATCTTGTCCACAAGAATGTGGTAAGTAAACTGACCTCACTGCCTTGCTTAAATTCACATATACTAGTTCAATTTCCCTACTCTCTACACTGGCAGAAAAATTAAAAAAACAAATCATGTCACATTTGTAGAAAAATCTGTTGGATCTATATGAACTTTCTCAACCAGAGATTTATAGAACGAAACATTTGTACTGGAAGCAAAAGAAAAGAATCTGTGTTCACTGATCTAGGATCAATCATCTATTTTCTGAACATCAGCATCAGGTTGATGTAATGCACACCTCGAGACATTAATAGTGCTGTCTCAGCACATTCTCTCCAACTGACTCTGCGCGAGGAGAAAAAGGAAAAACAAAAACTATGACTTATGAATACCATTGCATGAAACACGCACATTTCCCTTATAATAATCTGTCCTACAGTCTTACGCATTTCCCAATCTGTTTTGAAGTTTTTTTCTTTACAGTCTAAAATATTATTTATCTTTCTGGATATCATAAATTCAAAGTTCACCTGACCACTTTTTTCCCAAAGGATCATCATTTCTTTTCTGGCAATCAGTTCCACCTGTGTGTGTGTGTGTGTGTGTGTGCGCGTGTATGTTGTTGTTGTTGTTCTTGTATATTGTTCATCTTTAAAAATGTAATTTAAAATCTTATCTCACAAACCATCTCATGTTGATGGGAACGCTGAAGAATGTTAATTCGCAATATGGTCTTTTACCTCCATCTAGAGGTCATTCTCACCATACATGCTTTGACAAAAATTCTGTATTTTCTTGGCATTGATACGGAATATATCTTTAATAAGTGACAAACATTCCTGTGTCAACAACTACTAAAATAACTCCATTACTCTCCCTGCGGTACTTCTGATTCAGCACAAATGCTATTTATGCCGTGAGAAAGCAGAGGAAGAATAATGTAATAGAATACCGAGTATATATGAATAAAAGATCTGGTGTTTGCTTTTCTACTTACTGTGTGACCCTTGCTCACTAACAACCTATCCCCCCCCCACACCTCCCCCATACACTACCTTGCTCACCCTAACCCCTAAAACGGAAACAGGTTGTTCTGTAAATCACGTGCTGTAAGCCATGTGGATACAATTTGTGAACAGTAGAGCACAACAAATATGTAAGATATTATTTGTAATTACGGTCAAGCCTATGGGGCTGACAAACTACAAAGCCACAGCGACTTTACTCTCTTGATCCTAGAAGTATTTTGGGCTGGTTCAACAAAAATAACATTTTTGTGGACAGCTTTATGAAGACTTAAAGTTTTGAAGCTTTCTGGAAGAAATGAAGATGGAAAACAAGTCTTAAGATGCTATTTGTTTTTCAACCATCCCCTCAATGTGAATCCTTTCTGATAATTATTCCTGAAGACTGCATCTTGTATTTCAAACTGAAGCTTATAAGCCATCACATAGTCCTTTCAGTCATGGATGTGCAAAGTTGTGCTGCAGGGCCAGGTAGCAAACATTTTAGGCTTCGGGTCAGAGAGTCAAGGTTGCAACTACTGAACTTCACAGCTGTGCACAAATGCACGGACGGGGCTGTGAGCCAGTAAAACTATTTATAAAAATAGGCGGTTGGCCTGGCCAAAGTTTGTCATTTATGACAAACTTATGGGGGGAGAAGCAGATCAGAGTTAAGAGGAGGGCTTGGGTCCTTTTTCTGCCTCTAAATCTGGCCAATTAGCTTCCAAACCCTCCCAATATCAGAGGACATGAAGAGAGCGTGGCTTGATCAGTACAAATTCATTATAGTTACCACTAAAAGTGGAAGAAAGGAAGTACTTTAAGGCATACATATGTTAATTTATTAATATTAATGTGCAAATTAGATGAGAAGGTAAATTTGGTTATAGAAATAATACCCTCATACATTGGGAAAATGACCCTAAAGATATGTACCAAGACGCTAACTGCAAAAGTACCTTTCTCCTGGCGGGAGGTGGAGGAGTGAGGGCTCCTGTGGATAGAACTGTTCTGGGGACTGTGGCTTCCACAGTCCTGTGGCTTTCCCCTCGTGGAGGGGGCCGGGGCAAGCTTGCACCTCGTCTTAGGCCAAGTGAGAGCAGGTCAAAAGATCTATTTTTATTTTGGCCTGTGTCCCTCCAGGGACATAGAAAATGTCCTTGACTCCTAACCAGAGAGGCTTGAAGAGGACAGTGTGAGTGGAGCTCCCCCTGCTGGTGGCAGAGTAAATAAACAGGTTTGCACTTGAGAGTTGGTGGAGTGAAACCAATGCCCTGTGGGGCAAATGCAGACCTGCAGAAAGGGTCTGCCTCAAAGTGTTCCAGGAGAATAAAATAATTCTGAAGAGGGGTGGATTTCTGGAAACCGAGGTCTGAGAGAAGGGTCATAAATTTATTTATTACTGTTATCTTTCTAGCACCTGAACTACCTGTATTGCCGCAAGGAACTAAAATATGTTGTAAAAATGCAACTACAAAGTGTTAATTAAAAACAATATATGTCTTCTTATTTGTGTTTTATAATTCTAAACAAACAAAGGATCCAAAATAAAACATATTCAAGAATATATTTGTTTCCCCAAGGGTAGTCAGCTACACCCATCCAACGAATTAAATTCCCTTTGTTTGAGCTTTCTGATATTATACACGACTTCTCTTTGACCTGTAGTATTAGTATACACAAGCTCATTAAGGTATAAAAAATGAGCGATATGCTTTTATCCTGTGAGGCATTCTTTCCACATTTCATTTAGAAGCATGATATCACTTTAATATTTGTTTTCAAATAAAATGTTAAATCACACTTAATTAGAATTTATCATGTTCGAAGGGGCTGCACTTGGTAGATTCACTTATGAAATCTTCAATGAAAGTTTGCCTTGAATATATTTAAAATATACATATTGGGGCGCCTGGGAGGCACAGTCGGTTAAGCGTCGACTTCAGCCAGGTCACGATCTTGCGGTCCGTGGGTTCGAGCCCCGCGTTGGGCTCTGGGCTGATGGCTCAGAGCCTGGAGCCTGTTTCCGATTCTGTGTCTCCCTCTCTCTCTGCCCCTCCCCCATTCATGCTCTGTCTCTCTCTGTCCCAAAAATAAATAAAAAACGTTGAAAAAAATTTTAAATATACATATTGTAAAATACATGAGACTAAGAATAATTACTCTGCTATCTATTAAATATATTTTTCAGTGAATGTGACTGACAGGTTAAAGGGTCAATAATATCTTAAAAATTGATCGTAACTTATATAGAGGCATATGAGAATTCTAAAAGACTGTGTAAGTTCTATGTACTTACCACAGATGACAATGCCCATTCATGGGCGCTCTAGTAATAGCTTTTTCCCCCAATGTCTTCCCTGAAAGAAAAATGTACTTGCATTTAGTACCTTCACATGAGTCGGTGGGGGGGGGGGGGGGGGGGGCTGTAGATTACTGAATTAAGTCAGTGGTTCCTAAAATATGCTCCTAAGACCAGAAGCATCACTTACAGAAAAGCAGATTTTTGGCTAAAAGAGAGACTTACCCTATAACAAAGTCTGGGGCTCAGCAATCTGTTTTAACTAGCCTGTAGAGATTCTGATGAATGCTCAGGTTTTAAGCTCACTGGACTAAGGCGATGTAACCAAGTGCAAGAAAAGTCATCCAATCATTATTTAAAAGCATTAATAAAAATCGTTCTATAATTGACCGACATTTACTGTATGCCTTCTGAGTGTCGTATCATAATCTCTGGGAATAAAAAGTCAAATTAAGACACAGTTTTTGACTTCCAAGGGTTCACATTTCAGTAGAAAGCAGGTATATAAGCAAACAAATTGCGTGTAAAAACCAAAAGTGAGATGAAAAACAGAGAGAGCATGTTAGAGAACAGAGTGTTGAGATGTAGAGAGAACTCCATCCAAAGGGAAGGCTTCCCAGAGAAGTGCTTACCTAATCGTGCACAAAAACGAACAGGCTCGACACATAAATCACCCTGCCAAATCATTCCACTTAGTTTTAGAAGTAACTTTTCGTAATGTCATAATTACTTTGGATAGAGGTTTGTCTAGTGGCCTGAAAAACCAAAATGCTTGCAATGAAACTGGACAACATTCTGAAAATCCTTCTCTAAAAGGGGCTGCTTTGTTTTATACCATCTCCCTTTACCCTGCTCCATTTTGTTGTTGCTCTTGCCTTGAAGAGAATATCCAGGGATCTGCAAAATGCTCTTCTAAGTTAAGTGGATGATGTAATCTTTATAATAAGGATCCTTAATTCTAAAACCATTCTGTTAATTTGTTAAGGTGGGACACTTCTATATTTTATAGCTCTATTCATTAAGGGAAATATCTCATGTATAAATCTACCTAAAGTGGAAAAAATTAAAAAGTGAAGTGTTTTAATACTGACATTACATTGTAGACCTATATTCAAAGAGTGATTTTTAAATAAACAATTGAAAAACACAGCTTTAAATGTACAAACGTTAAAAATGAAATCAGCATGTAGCTACTTTGCCAAATGAACAAAAATAGCTTTTGATGTACAACCACCAGCCTAAAATAGAGGAGAGTCCACAACCCTGAGAATACAAAAGGAAGCTGGGTCGGTCATACGCAGGCTGGTTTTGCAGCCTCGTTTATGTAGCTGAAGTCTGAAAGGAAAGCTGTTTCACTTACAAAATGGTACTTTGTGATCTATTTGAGGCACATGGGTCGATCACTTAATTCTGGAAATTATAATAATGTTCCTTTAGATATAAGATTCATAGTTTACTTGGAATACACATTATGATCAGAGTACTTATATGACACACTGTGTAATGCTATACCCCATCCTGAGTTTTATGAAGGAATTCTGTGCTCTCCAGTGATCAAATCATGCCTTGGGGTAACAATTTTAAATATGCTATTATGGGGAAAACGGGTCACCACTTCCTCCTCCCGCACACTGAGTTCCAGTGTCCCCCAACGCTGGTCTCAGCTCTAGCACACTGTCATCACCTTTCCTAAGCACTCACTACCCGAACACTGAAGTATATTGGGCTGTCTCCATGTTGATCTATCTAGCAAGTTCCTTAGCATGGCACCAACTTAATCACATTTACCTCCCTCCTCTCTTCCTTCTCTCCCCCCCTCTACCCCTCATTTTAACATCACTCCCGGACACAGTAATTTCAAATAAATATTTCCTAAATGGATAGAAAAAAAAAGAATTATTTTTAATATATTTCAATACGTGAATGAGTAGAATACATCGTAGGCTTTTACTCATTTGTCTTGACACTATAAAGGTTTCTCATTTTTTAAGATACATCCTATTCCAATCTCCATTTTTGTCCCCAGATTTCTTCCCGCCTATTTCTTTTTCCATTTTTACCACCTCTGCCATGAACTCAATTAAACTTCTACGCCGTTTAAAAATAGAGATTCCAAGTGATTTCACCTAAGTGAAACTCTTACTTTCACAGTAAAGACTTCCCTGCATCAACCCCCAGCCGCTGCCATCATATCCTTTCTGTGATCACTCTTTTAACACCTTGCATTCTCCTCTACTCACAATGTATTTCTGTTTGTTTCTTTATAATATATGGTTATTTCAATGATACTGCTCCCCCCCCCCAAAGCCATAAGCTTGTCTACAGTCTGAGAAAATGTGATTTTGCTCTCATTTCTACCTCCTATCACACACAGGACGACCCCCGATACCCAGGGTAGGGCAGGAGCTTACAGGCAATAAAAAGTCTTTCCTACTTTAGCAGTTTACATAGCGAGACTGTGATTTTCTCAGGAGATATGAAAATAAATCAGTTTTTTCTCTTTGGTTAAATTTTTATTTACCCTAGAGTTAACAAACCTCTTCTCTAGAATTCGATTTTGTGTATGGCCTGCAAGATGGATCACTACAGAAAAACTGCCCCACAAAGCTGATGATGCATAATGTGGCAAGGAAATCTACAAGTGGAAAGAATATAATTACAAGGAGTTTGGAAATATTTCCTTCTTGGAAATAAAAAAGACAGGGAACTACCGTGGAATGAGATGTGTAGTATCATTATTTTTGTGCTGTTTCTTCCTCATGCTAACTTAAAGAAAGAAAGCTTAGAGAAGAGAAAAGTTTAGAATGAAAGAAGAAATTAAAGAAGTCTGATGTCAGATTATTGCCCCGAAGCTCAGAGAACTGGCAGCTAACGGGCTTTTTGCAAGAAAGAGTTTTGATATTAAGTGACAGAAATAGATATGTATAAAAGCTTTGACATTCTGGCTATTACTATGTTGTTACACGCTGTTGTTATTAGGGAAAATTTCAAAAAATATGCATAAAATGGTAGAGGACAGTATCATGAACCATCATGTACTGGATCGGTCAGCTTAAACAATGATCAACTCAAGACTAATCTTGTTTTATTGAGATAAATTTTGAAAAAAAAAAAAACAAAACACGGGGCTCCTGAGTGGCTCAGTCGGTTGAGCGACCAACCTCAGCTCAGGTCATGATCTCGCGGTTGTGAGTTTGAGCCCCGCACAGGGCTCTGTGCTGACAGCTCGGAGCCTGGAGCCTGCTTTAGATTCTGTGTCTCCCTCTCTCTCTGCCCCTCCCCTGCTCACGCTCTGTCTCTCTCTGTCTCAAAAATAAATAAAACATTTAAAAAAAAAAAGAAAAAAAGGCATTGAAGTTTAAGTAGTTATTTCTTTGTGGTACCTGAAGTTCTCCCTTATAGGAGTCAAGGAAGGTTTTTTTAATTGTGCTGGAGATATCTATCCTCTGCCTCTTACTGTTCCTCAAATATTACCTAATTGTCTTTCTGTCATAAACTTAGTATCTGAAATTTGAGTTTTTCAGCTGTCTATTTTAGTATACTCAAATATTTTTAAAGAATATATACCTTAGTCCTGAAAAAAATTTCTGGCCTTAGACTACATGTATTTTCCAGTACTAGGATATATAAAATAGATTAAATATATTGGTTTTAGCTAAGATAATTTGGCTTTAATTAAAATTCATTGATGGGTTATTATAGATAACAATTGTCACTTGAGAATAATCAGTCTTTATAAAATACTTACCAATATTAGCATAATGTTTCTTTTCTTGTGCATTCGTAGATAGCTCATACATGTCTCCATAAGCGCGAGCAAACCTCCAAATAAACTCTATTTCATCTCTAAACTGAAAAGAAAAAATAGCACTATACATTAGATTAACTCAGTCACTTGATGAAACTATAAATGTTTTCCACTGTAACTTTTAAAAAATTAGGCAGATGAACTGGTATTTATAGATGACTGAATCTAGTCACGTGCATACAATGAATTTGTGCATACAATTTGAATTTTAAATTCAAATATTCAGGCTACAAAAAGAGATTTAATAGGGTTACATTTGGATCTCAAAAATAATGAATGTTATCCAGACTCTACCTCTACACCAACATGGAAGAGAGAATTGATAGGTACCAGAATTTGTAAGTTTTCCCTGGTGGTAGTATCTTCTTCTCATTTCTAAGTTACCTACCTTCAATATGATGTCTCAGTGAGCATTAGAGATCACATACACTCGAAAAAGCAGTCACATTTTTAACCTATATTACCTAAAAATAGAATCATAATGCTGGAGATTTAAAAACTTTTAAACAATCTGTTTAGAGTTGCTGAAGCCTCAGACAAAGGATTTAAATTGCTCATGGGAAAGAAAGATTCATTGCTCACTGGGCTATTGAGAACCTCTTCTTACATCTGTCCTTTCTTCCTTCCTTCCTTCCTTCCTTCCTTCCTTCCTTCCTTCCTTCCTTCCTTCCTTTCTTCCTCTCTTTCTCTTTCTCCTTCTTTCTTTTTCTCTTTTTCTTTTTCTTTTTTTTGGTGGTTGTAGTGGGAAGGATAGGCTTTCCCAATTCAGCCCAATGTTAAACATTGAAAAACGACCATTAGTAGAAATGGACTGAAATACTGTACTGATAGCCATTACATTAATAACTACAAGACAGAAAACTTAAAATGTAGTTTTTCCTGCCCCAAGAGGAGTATGTCTTATTCTTTATCTTACAGAGTATGTATTAAATACAACAAACTAATAAATATCAAATAAAAATAAAACTGTATAATCATATCTCTGGTTCTCATATTCATGATCTTAGAGCATAATAAACTCTTAGATTTACTTTTTTAAAGTTTAGTTTAGATTATAGAAAAATTTTGCATCAACCAATTTGGCTTGGGTAAACTAACCCAATTGTTACGGTCATAACATAAATGGGATAGCAGATTAAATAAAAATTAAAATCATACAGATGCTATTATCTCACATCTCTTACCTTTTCTTTGTGGTCACAAAGTAGTTCAAAACTCTCCATCTTGCTAGATTCATTCATACGTAAATTATCAACCTTCTGAAGAAGGACATCTAAATTTAATTCCTCTATGTGTGTGTTAAATGCCTTAGGGACAGGAAAACTCTGTTCTTCTGTGTCAGTATTAGCTGTAATATACCTAAAATTGCAGAAATAATAAATAATGATCAACTCTCTTGAAAGTTATAATAGCCAGAGTGATCCTTTTAAAATGCAAGACAATATGCTATTAGTACAGGAACACATGAGTGACTGATGGAATAAAACAAAGGCCAGAAGTGGATCCATACATATATGGAAATGTGGTACATGACAGAGTTGGCAGGTGAGATCAGTGGGAAATTAAGGGATTGACCGGGGGGGGGAAATGGCTACTCCTATAAAAAAACAATGAAATTGAATTTCTATCATATAATATAAAAACAAGTCTGGATGATATAAGGAATTAAATGTTAAAAATAATTTTTTAAACTCTAAGTAGAGAGTATAGGTGAATACCCTTTAGTCTTTGGAGCAAAAAATTTGCTTCACCAGAATATGAAAGCATTAATTAGAAATGATTATTAATTACACATGATTAATCAGTTTGACTCTATTAAAATGAAAAACTGTTGCTAATCAAAAGACACTTTAAAAAATATAAAAATGCAAAATAAAAACCAGGAATGGATAGTTTTGCAACACAACTGGAGAACACGGATATCAAGAACACATAAATACTTTCCTAAAATTCAATAATAAAAACTCAGTGAACTCAACAGAAATATGCTTGAGAGATATAAATAGGCTTTCCCAAATGAGAAAATACATATAGTCAATAAACATAAGAAAAGATGTTCAATGTTCAGCCAATTAGAGAAATACTAGCAAAGACCACAAAGAGATATTGCTTTAAGCTCATTTTGTTGATAAAAGGTAAAAAATCTGACAATACCAAATGCTGGGGAGGAAGTCAATCCACAGGATCTGATGAAGTGTAAATTGGTGAAACCCTCAGGAAAACACTTTGGAATTCTCTTTTAATACTGAACTTTCACATACGCTAGGACCCAGTAACCCAGGTCTCTTGCCTATGTGCAGAAAGAGATGTATAATAAAAAGAGCAGTACTTTCAAATAGCAAACACCAGGAAACAAACTAAATGCCCATCCAAGAGTGGATGAATATTACACAACAGTCAAAATGAAAGAAACACAGTGATGTGCAAAATTATGAAGGAATCTTTTTTTTTTAATGTTTATTTACTTATTTGGAAAGAGAGAGAGAAAGAGTGTGTGCATGCACACGCAGTGAGGAGCAGAGAGAGAAGGAGACAAAGAATCCCAAGCAGGCTTGGATCTGTGCTATCAACCCAGAGCCCAAAGCAGGGCTTGATCTCGCAAACCGTGAGATCATGACCTGAGCCAAAATCAAGAGTCAGACACTTAACTATCTGAGCCATCAGGTGCCCCAATATGAAGGAATCTTAACAAATTTATATTAAGTGGGGAAAAAAGCTCTTAAAATTATATACAACACAATCCCCATTCCATAAAAACAATCGAAATTAAATGTGTTTTAAGGAATATACACATGGATGCAATAAAATGATGTATTAAAAAGAAGGAATGAACAATATACATTATAGATTCACGATAATAGTTATCTTCAGGTGAGGGGAGGCAGGGGAGCCAAATGTTTGATGAGGACTACTGTCTACATCCTATCTTTTGTTTTAGGACATGGTTTCATGGATGCTTTCACATTATTTATAATAACTAACTAAATGAATAAAAGTGGCACATGCATGGACCAGTCATGAGAGCTTGTAAGAGCTAAAAGTAGTTTTAGTCCAATTCTATGCACCTGAGGTATAAGAAGAAAATAATAACCAAAAGGTGTAATTAGTTGAATATCGGGCAGGATACTCTTTAGAGCAAAAAGCTTTAAATCTAAAGAGGGACACGAAACACTAAAAATGGTTCAATTTATGATAAAGAAAGAGCAGTTTTAGACTTCTATGCATCTACAAACACGAGTCTCAGATATATAGAAAACACAAATTAACACATACAAGGAGAAACTGAATCCACTATCAGAATAGGAGATTTGTAACATAAGATTCTAATTGATAAAGTGTGAGAGAAAGTAAGGATACAATTTAAACACCGTATGAACTAGCTTAAATGCAATCAAGATACTAGAACTAGACACAGAACCCCTGGAAAACAATGTCTCTTCCAGTATATATGGAATATTTATGAAAACAGCCACGTACAGAGGGCCATGAAGCAAGCGACAAATGATAATAATCTATTGTGTAGACCACATTCCATGTTCACAATGCAACTAAGTTAGAAAATCACCAGTAAAAGGTAGGAGAGAAAACCCCAATATTTAAAAATAATTGATGGGGCCCCTGGGTGGCTCAGTCAGTTAAGCATCAGACTGAGCTTGTGGGTTCGAGCCCACGTCAGGCTCTGTGCTGACAACTCGGAGCTTGGAGCCTGCTTCAGATTCTGTGTCTCCCCCTCGTTGCCCCTCCCCCACTCATTCTCTCTCTCTCTCTCTCTCTCTCTCTCAAAAATAAACATTGAAAAAAATTTTTTTTAATTAAAACAGTTCACAGCTCCAATCATCATCTCATTCATATAAAATCCTAATGAATCCACAAAAAGTTATTAGAACTAATAAACGAGTTCAGTAAGGTTACAAGATAGAAGATCAACTTATAAAAGTCAATTGTATTTCTGTAAATCTAGCAATGAACAATCCAAAAATGAAAACAATTTCACTTACAATAGTATTAAAAAGAATAAAATTCTTAGGATTGCATTTAACAAAAAATGTGCAAGACTTGTACACTATATAAAACATTGTTGAAATTAAAGAATACGATCTAAATGCATGAAAAGAAAACTCATGCTCATGAATCAGAAGATTTAGTATTATTATGATGGCAGCACTCCCCAAATTTACCTACAGATTCAAAGCAGTTTCTACTAAATCTCAGCTGGTAACATTTTCCCCCAGAAATGAGTAAGCTGATCCTAAATTTCATATGGAAATGCAAGGGGCCTAATAAGGCCAAAAGAATTTTGTAAAACAAGAGCAAAGTCAGAGAATTCACACTTGCAATTTTCAAAATTTACTATCAAGTCATAGCAATCAAGATAGTACTGTCAGAAGGCTGATAGACATGGAATAGAGATTAAGGGCCTATTAAGAATTAAGGGTCCAGAAATAAACCCTTATGTTTATTATGAGCAATTTGTTTTGGCAAGAGTACCAAGACAACTCAGTGGAGGAAACAATTTTATTTTCAACAAATAGTACTGGGACAAATAGATATCCATATGCAGAAGAATGAAGTTGAACCTATACCTCGCACCATATATAAACATTAACTGAAAATGGATCAAAAGTCTAAATGTAAGAGCTAAAACTATAAAACACTTAGAAGAGAACACAGGAGCAAATAGTTGTGACCATAGACTAGGCAATGATTTCATAGATATGACATTATAAGCACAGGTGACAAAAGAACAAATAAACAAAATAGATTTTATCAAAACTTACAAATTTGTGCTTCAAAGCAAATTTTTTTCATCAAGAAAATGAAAATATAATTCACAAAATGGAAGAAAATACTTACAAATCATATATCTGATAAGGGACCTATATAGAGAATATATAAAGAAACCTTACAACTCAATAATAAAAAGAGCTGTATAAAAAAAAAATAACTGAACTTAAAAATGGAAAAAGGATTTAATAGATATTTCATCAAAAGATGATAACAAATGGGAGCGCCTGGGTGGCGCAGTCGGTTAAGCGTCCGACTTCAGCCAGGTCACGATCTCGCGGTCCGTGAGTTCGAGCCCCGCGTCAGGCTCTGGGCTGGTGGCTCAGAGCCTGGAGCCTGTTTCCGATTCTGTGTCTCCCTCTCTCTCTGCCCCTCCCCCGTTCATGCTCTGTCTCTCTCTGTCCCAAAAATAAATAAACGTTGAAAAAAAAATTAAAAAAAAAAAAAGATGATAACAAATGGCCAATGAACACACAGAGATGCTCAATATCTTTAGTCACTAGGTAAACGAAAATCGAAACCACAGTGAAATATCACTTCATAGCTTCTAGGATGGCTAAAATAAAAAAGACAATCACAACTGTTGATAAGAATATGGAAAAACTGGAACTCTCCTACACTGCCAATGGGGATGTAAAATGCACACGCATCAAGTTTGGAAAAACAATTCAGTAGTTCCTCAAAATGTTTAACATGAAGTTATCATACGACTCAGCAATTACACTCCTAAGTACATATCCAAGAGAGCTGAAAACATATGTCCACACAAAAACCTGTATAGGAATGTACATAGAAACTTAATTCATAATGGCCAAAAAATGAAAACAACCCAAATACCCATCATCAGATGAAAGGGTAAACAAAATGAATAAACGATGAAATATTATTTGGTAATACAAAGGAATGAAGTACTATTGTATGATATGACATAACAGCCCTTGAACACATTACTTAGTGAAAGGCCACGTATTATTATGATTCCATTTTATGAAATGTACAAGATAAGCAAAACCATGGAAACAGAAGGTAGAATAATGGTTGACAAGGCCTGAGGATGAGGAGAGAATGAATGGATACACAGTACAGGGTTTTCTTTTGAATAATGAAACTGTTTGGAAATTAGAGAGTGGTGATGGCTATATAACTCTGTGAATAAACTAACTCCCACCAAATTATACACTTTAAAAGGGTGAATTTTATAGTATATGAGTAATATACTCAATAAGGACTTTATTTTTATAAGAAAAAACAAAAACATGAATAGTCCTATAGCCATTAAATAAATTAAACCAAAATCTATTTCAACACACACACACCACAGATTGAGAGAGAAAGAGAGATAGGGAGGGAGAGAATCAATTTCCCTTAAGGGGAATTCTATCAAATATCCAAAGAATTAGATTTATTCAAATTCTTGCAAGGAATTCAAAAAGAGGGAAAACCTCTTAGCTCCTTTTTTGAAGCTGATAAAACTGACACCAAAATCAAACAAAGATAGTGTAAGAAATGAAAATTATAGACCAATTCCACACATAAATACAGATGTAAAAATATCAACCAAAGGTATCAGAGAC